TATTTAGGATAGTAGGAGATTAGGATAGTAGTAGATTAGGATAGTGCGCTGACAAGATTAGATATGTATTGATATTCGCTTGAAGTCTACTACTCTCCAGCGATTTCAATCGATACGTATCCAATCTTGTCAGCGCAATCTCCTACTCTACTACTATCCTAATATCCTGTCGCCTACTATCCTAATCTCCCGAGTCGCGAACTATGAACGCGGCCTTAGCAACAAGTCACTGATAGTGATGGTACATATATTGATGATGGTAATGCATATACTTGAGATAGAGTAGGCTCGTAAAACAGTTCAAAATATGCACGAACTTTCAAGAGGTCTAATATCCGAGTCACCCGCCAGGGAACTCGATTCTACGACCTCTTCCCTTGACCGTAAACCACTGCCGCTGCTCTATTTTGCTTCATAACTCCGTTCAGAAAATCGTTTGGCAGATTTGGAAAGCAGATTCGAGATCAGCGTCCAAAAACACATCCAATGGTGTAGGTCTCATTGCATATGGCCACTTCGACCCATCATACCTACCTGGTTAGCATTATCTATCATAAATTTTGAAACATAATCGAATTCTCCCAGAAGATTTCATAAATTCCACAAACTATGGGGTGATTATGGTGGAGTAGTCTCCGAGCAATCTCAGAAGCTCATAACTGCTTTTTTTTGTGGTTTAAATGGATTTTCCGATTTCGTTCAGAAAAAGTCAACAGTCTTCGGCAGTAGCGAATCCGCAAATGGCAGGAAAGAACCAAGCCACAAAGACTGCACCGCATCAAAACGCTCCAAGACCAGGTCTTCCAGGACCAGGTCGGCTTGCTAATGAGTATCAATGCGTCTGATCTTCATTGGAGGCTCAAACTTCCAGTTTTAGCATTTCTCCACCAAAAATGATATCCCTTTCCAGAGTTTTATACATACGTCAGCAGAGAGAAGATAAGGGCGCTGGTTGTTTTGAGCGAGTTGGATGTGGAAAAGTTCATACGTCTTCTAGAAGTGGAGGTTCTACAAGAATGACCCCAGGGGGATGGACTGTGTTTGTGATCGTCGTGAGCAAACAGCAAAGGTCGTTTTCATCGTAAAGGTGGGGTGAAATTGAGACAGTTTATCCGCCATGAGAAGCTTTCTTGAGCTCTATGCATACTGTCAGTTTCAAACTTGGATGACGTTTACCATGGTTTGATTTTTCAGTGCGTTTTGATACACTATAAAGTGCCCGACCATTTGCGTAAGTTCATGATTCAAGCAGTGAAAGACTGTATAGATAAGCGCATATTGGCAAAGACAACGAAGGCGTGAGTGATTTCGAACGAATACACAACAACAGCACCCAGAAGTTTTTCGAATTCAGGCCATCACGTTAGTTTAGGACCTTGTGGACGTATTTAAGTGAGGATATTTCATCAGAATTGTGCTCCTTATGTTTAAATCAGATTTGCCTCACATTATAATAAACCGTTAAGTTTCCTGACATGAGATCACTTTACTTACAACACACATCAGTTGACACTGTGGAAAATCAATTTCTAAACTTCAGATTCCAGTCAGGAATTGTTTGGAGGAATCTTTCTTAGAATATCCATACACTCTTTCTCAGCAGGAATATGTCAGTTGTGACCACCAGAGAAAACATGCTAAGTTTTGATCACAACTATTTAGTTTCCGAAGAGTGTCGAGGAGGGACAGAATTGAGCAGATCATGAGCGAGAGGCTGCCCAAGCGCAAACTACGGTACTCGCCGTAAAAAACGAAAAAACACGCGAAAAACGCGAATTCGCGTTTTTTTTTTCGTTTTTTCGTTATAACTCGGTTCAAAATTGAGATTTTCAAAATCTGAAAAAAGCATTGAACTCAGCTCGTCGAGTTCTATAAGAATGCTTTTAAACTTTTGGAAAGCCCTACTTCAGATTGCGCCATGCACTCGAGCTTTGGCTCGAGAAAAAATTGTTTGAATGTGGTGCGCATATAATCCCGCTTATGCATCATGATCGTTCTTCAGAGAGATGGGTCTCAGCAGTTGCCCCAGAACGCGCCGCGTATTCAACATCGTCCATTGTATTGTGAATGGATCGATTGCTTTTTTTCCAGATTTCATGGTCCCTATTCCATAGCGGCGCGTTAAATGACTTAACATGTACATGACTGCGCTCAACATCTCCTCCTCTCGTGTTCAAATGGAAATCATAGATCATTTCAGCAGGACAGTTAGCCTATTTGGTGAAATTTTCCAATGTTTGAGCGAAGGTTTTTCCGAAATCTGAGGAGGTAGCGGGGAAATTTCTTCACTGTTGTAGAGTACGCTTACTTGTGTGTAGAAATAAGATGATATACTTGCTTGTAGACGAGCGCTTCCGCCGTGCTGTGGCTGTGAAAATGCCTCCTCGTCATGCCCTTGTGGAAAGATCAGATTTTTTGCATTTCCAGATGAACTCGCAGACCTGAAATGTGCCCCGTTAGATTCCCCGTGAAAAATGCTATCGAATGATATGCATTACTCCTCCCAGTTGAGGCTTTGGTTTTTCACCGTT